CCTCCCGCAGCTGCCATCAACAGGTGGAGGGGAGTGGAGGGGAGGGAGGGAGGGAGTGTGTAGCTTGGGGGCACAAAACCCATTCCAATCAGTCACAGTCTCCTGAAGACGATCCCCTGTATCCTCTCTGACTGGCTTCTCCTCATCCAGATATAAAAATATAATCATCTCTGTCTCCTTTCTTATTTAATTAGTTACCAACCAACTCATAAAATACCTTCCCAGCATCAGATGTGACTCCACAGAAAGGCTGAGAAATGAATGACCAAGCCCACGCCCACAGAACTCACTCTAGGACACCATGGACCATGACGTTGTCGGGTTACTCTTGAAATTCACTAACAATGTTCCAACAGCATCTCACCACAGAGCAACTAACACACGTTTGGTGGATAGAAATAACCTAGAAAGGATCACTAATATTAAAGATGAGACGCTTCCCAGAAAGTAGCTCCTAAGTATTGAAAAAATCCTCTTATTAATGAGAAATCTAAGCCAACGCCCAGCCGGGGACTGCGGTCGTGGGCAAGTTTATTATGCAAATGAGGCTTTAGTTTCACAAAGAAGAGAAACTCAAGACTTAGGCAACAGAGCAGAATCACAAAGATGTATTTTTACTGAACTGTACACAACAATATTTTCCTGTGTGGTGCTTTTCACTCAACTACTGTTGCATTTGTGACTTAAAACAGATCGGTGCTACTGCGGAATCACTGGTTGGGAGAGTACAGCATTTTCCACTGATAAAAATTTGTGTATCTATTGCTGAAATATTCAGAATTATAATATAAATTTCATTTTAGTACACTGCTGATATTTTACGTTAGGGGATGTTTTCAATTTAAACAAAAAAACATTTATTTTTTGATTTTCTTAAAAATATTATCAGATTTTAAATATTTTTCCTTGAATATTTCCATAAATATACATCCAAAGTCCTACAAATATTTTATTTAAATAAACACAAAATAGTAAAACCATAGGTCAAAGCATCAAGTAGGCACACAGTTTTACTTAGTTAGAAAAATATGATTCTTCTGTCAATTTTTTGTCTAGATTTCTGTGAATCAGATTTGGTAAAATTATAAAGATCCCAAAATATGGTGAGATCTCTTTCAACCCTTCCCTACTTCTTGGAGTGAGACTGGGATTAGAAATGATTATCAAAAAAGTAAGAAAATCATACTCAAGTGGGTTATTCGATTTTCTTCTGGAAAGACTGCCCCACAAATAAGAGCATGCGCTTACAAGCAGAAGTCTAGTTTGAGAGCAAAACATGATTTATCTTTTCTCAAGCTAGCCTGTGTGTTCTGTTCATCAGTACATGTCCTGATACGTGGAAGCCTTTCCCGCATGGTGTACCACTCTGCTCGGGGAAGGGGATGGGGCTCTGTGAAAGTGAGCCTTTCAGATTCACGCCCTACAGGTCACTGAAGCATCTGGGAACTTAAACCCTTTGCTTCTGCCAGGGGTTGAAGAATGGAATGCTTTGGGCTGCTGTGCAATTTGTTTTGGGAGAAAGAAATGTCTGGGGTTAGGCAAGCAAGCAACTAATGGTGGTTCATTTTGTCCATAAAACAACAAGATCGATACGTATGACAGGCAATGTTTATGCAACGCTGTTTCCTTTTCCTTCCAGGGGAGGGAGAAAATACTGGATGATCGCTTTCTGCAGACAGCTGCAATGACTAATGCTATTTAATGCGTCTTTGGCCTCTCCTTCCTACCTGCTGGTCACAACACAGCCACCTGATCTCAGTTCATTTCCTGTGCCAGAATTCAACTTAATAGATTTTTTGCATGTCTATTTAGCTTTAATGATCCAAGCACTCAAAATCTAGGGATAACGTAAGAATTCAAAGTGAACAGCTAGTCTGTAGGTTGTAAAAGGCATTAACGATCGATAATACGTTCATTAAAATTAGATCTTTTATGAACAAATAGGAGGAACTCAGAGAGAGAACGTCTGATCTATGTCAAAGTTTTGGGTTGAAGTGGATTTCTTTTCTTTTTCTTCTATAGAAATGACCCATTTGTAAGCGAGACGGTCATCTCAGAAAAATTAACTTTGCTTCTCCTTTAAGGGGAATTATCATCAAGAGTGACAGAACCAAAATCACACGATATTTACCCAACAGCAGGCATGCATTTCCCCAAATCATCTCTCAGTGGAGAGGTAAGGAATGTGAAAATGTTACCCATTGCTCTCTTCCTGCTTAGAGTGAGGACAGAAGCAGGGCTTGATCTTTTCAACAGCTTTCTTAGGGTCTGAAGACCTCAGGTCATTTTTGGATCATTGTGGACCCCTCGTTCACGCAACCCTAAAGCACTGCATCGAAACCATCAACGTACAGTTCTAAAACCCCACAAGTTTCTGAGTTCAAAGGTGCCAAATCTTGATAAGGTAGAACACTGAGATTTTTGCAAGCTTTTGAATTCTATTTTAATTGCAAGTGGCTCAGATCAATTACAGGTGGTTTTATTTAGCACCCACAAGCAAGGACAATCTCCTGAAAGCTGTATCAGTATTAAAAAGAGAATTGATCACTTCTTTTGACAATATCAAAGGAATCACTTCCAATCAGATAGCAGGGCTCACAGGGACATGTCACTCCCAGCCTCCAAGATGGAAGAGAGAACTGGATTAAGATATGAGTTTCTGAAAGTAAGATTTCAACCATCTACAACAAAAAAAGCAGCGAGGACCAAGGAAGGCTAACAGCATGCCCCCAGATTTAATTACCACTGTCATGACTTGATAAATGTACCCAGTAAAGTCATTTTACTGCTGTACCTTTGAAAACACCCACATCTTGCATTATATCATTTTATTCCATGTCAAACTTAAAGATGAAAAATTATATTATCTTCTACTAGCATTTGAAGCCTTGACTGAATTCGATTTGATTTCCAAAGTAGGCATAAATAAGCAAATTCAAGTGTTGATGAGGATCAGCATTGTATATTTAATTCTGTTGTATTGAGTGTAAATCCCAGAAGCATGAAGTTGTAATTCTTAAGAGTTTCATCACTGAGCGTAATTATTTTGCCTCTCATGTTCCCACGAGATAAACCTGAGTGAGAAACTCATAACCAAGTTCTTGCTATTCACAATGTTTCCATTGGGTGTAGCTATGATATTAGGCAGGTTAATATCACAGCCTGTGTCTTCAGGAAAGACATTTAGGGAATCTGTAGTGACTTTCTTAGTCTTTAGCATTAAATTGTACTAGTCAGCTCTATGTTCTATGGGTGAGACCAAATAAAACAATTTCAAATCAATCAGGTCAAAAAGGATTTCACTGTCTTTCTCCAAAAAGAAAGAAACATAAAAAACTGAGACCTATGTCAAAACTTGAATCAACGTAAGTACCACATAATTTGTTCCTTCTTGAATTTTTTACATTACCGTATAATTCACATCTAGTGTGAACGCCTTCCCTGTAGGTAGACATCTGTTGGATGAAATGGGATATTTAAGGGGAAAATCCTTTAACAACGCAACTCCTTTATTCAACGGTGGGTCTGAGCAGAGTGCCTAAAAATGTCTTTTCTATAAGGGAAACAAAAAAAAGTATTTCTCCTAAAATGCAAGGACAGTTTCCATGCTGAGATGAAAACTTCTAACTCTTTTCTTAACAACACCGTATGTCTCCAGTTGGCTCATAACGCAGTTGGTTCTCAGGGCAACGTTGTGCATGGAAGATAACCAAACCGAGGTGCAGGCTTCACTGCTGACCTGCGATTTACCAGGGGTCCTACTTGGATTTCCCAGATCACCCAAGTGTCAGTCTGAAGCGCCAGCCCCCTTTCTCAACATCCTTCCAAAACTCAGTGAGTCAGGAAAGGCACTCAATCCCGCCACAAAAATACTTCTCTTTTTGTTCTGATTTCCTTTTCTGTATAAACTCAGCATATTTTAAGAAACCAAATGCTCAACCCCCAGACTGTCTAACCACAGATTTTAAATAGTAGATACATTACATGGCAGACACTAGAGATGCAGCTGAGAATCATCAAAAGAAACACGAATGTTTAAGACTGAAGAAGTCACATTTTTCCTCCTGAGAATCACTGATCATAATAAAGCAACAAATAACCAACGTGGACTAGTCAGATATTTCTTTATCTATTTGTTATCACTCATTTTTATAATTTCATTCCCCCTTTAAAATTTTAATGTGTGAGTAAGATATAATTTTTCCTCCCATTTTATTGAGATATGAATAAGATAAACAAACACTAAATACTTCCCACATATACTACTACCAAGTTAATATCAAGTTGAGGCATTTCCAGCCTGCATCCTGATAGATGAGATATATTTAACTGTTTTATGTTGATTTTAATTCCTAACAGCATAACATACACCATGTTACGATGCGTGTCAAATCTTAAGAATTTTGCCTTTGGAAATGTGAAATGCCCGGAGGTCATCTAGATTGGTGCTTCTCTGCCTCCCTCTGATGAATGGACGGTTTAAAACACAATTTCAGTGTATATTTGATATTTTTGAAAAATACCACTAAGATTTTGTGATCATGTCATATTGCTATAACCGTTTCTAAATGCTGGCTCTCCCTTTCTGTACTCTTCCTGTCATGGGCTGGTAAGATGTTTGAGGACTGGCCTCCATCTGTGGTTTCCACTGTTATTTTATTTATAATGTATCACTCTTTAGACATTTTATAAATTAGAAATCAGGGTACCAATATTAATAATAGGAGTCAAACTTTCTTTACCTCAAGTCCATTTTTAACTATTCTTTGCTACGTTTTTCCTCTAATTCACTTTAGGGAATTAACAGCAGAGATTCAAAAGGCAGGCCAAAGAAGAATCCCCAAGAAGCTTTTGGTCGTTTTGAGTTGTTCAGTTGAAAACATACATATTTATAAAAGCAAACTTTTCCCTCCCAGTGACCAACCACGGTTCTTACCATTGACTTATTCTGATAATATCAACCAGCCTAGACACTTTTTAATGATTATGGCATTTCTTACCTGGAATGCCTGGTGGTGTTTTCAGATATTTTCCATTAAAATGTTGAATCACCACTTCACATTTTTCAGTAGACTCCATTCTGGGAAAAGAAGTAAACAGGGAATCACTGACATTCGTGAGGTTGTGCACATTCAGGGAAAACAAATAGAAAAGGAAAATAAGAAAGCTGTAGGCAAAGCTTGATTGGAGAATTTTACCAGAACTGTCAGCCGTTGCCATGACCACCATGACTAGGTAGAACATCGCAAACTCATCACCGCTGAGAGTATCATTTACTCTACAGGATGTCGCCTCTGTGGACCCCTCCGTGCTGAGTCATCACCCAGATGTAATCCTGAGGCGTTATGTTATTGAATCTACACCACAGTTCTTGGCACTTGCAAGCACTCCATCAACATCTGTTGAATGTCTGACTTAGCAAACCTGAGAGGCTGGTCTAGTCACTGGTCTTCAGACCGAAGAGGTCAGTGACGTTTAGAGCGATGACCCCCTTGGCAGTAAGTGAGAGAGTCGGGCTTTCAGCTGAGGCATGGGTGACCCCAACCTGCACCATAAGTACTCAGCGGCACCCCGAGGGACTCCGCAAATCAAGGTGAGGGGATGGGCTGTGCTGAAACAACTCGCAGCCTAAAGGAGAGATTCACACCACAGTGCTGTCATCAGCACCGTGGCACTTTTACTGGGAACCCACTGGGTGAGGGCGACAGCAGAGAGTGACTTGGGGTTCCAACTGTGGGAGGACATAAATACACAAGCCACAGGTCCTGAACTTTTCTTCATGTTAAATTTTGGACAATCGTCTATTTTTTCACACTAGATATCAATATTCCTAGACTAGGTTTCTTATGCCCAATTTTGGCATCTCACATACAATCTAAAGACAGAACATCTGGGACCAGACCACCGTAATGTCACCATTAGGAGTGTCGCCATCTCCTGAGGAACGGAGCGTCAGCAACATTTTCTAAATAATTCAACGCACCTTTTATTATTTTGTAGAATTGGGTGGGGAAGATAAAAATTCAAGGGTTGATTCTGATCAAAAGAAATTAATTCCCACCAACAGTACACTAAAGGGAAAAACTGACTTAAGAAAGGCACACATCCATGTAAGACTGCGTAGGAAATGTGTGAAATTTGTCTAAAAGGCAAAGTATGAGTTTGGATTTTCCGCTGTGTTACTAAGAGGGGCTTACTTGGACTGGAGCCCTTTGACACAATTTGTGAAACTTTCCTACCTCGAAATTTTTATGTGTGTTTTCAGGATCAGATCACACGACCGTATGATGTGCAGAGGAAATCAATAATAAGAAAAATAATATATATATATATATATATATATATATATATACATAATTACAATAATTATATTATTA